GGAGACAATGTAATTGCTTGTAAACATGTCAAAGTCAAAAGCTAGAATTGTACCACAAGGAATATCCAAAAACATGTCAAAATCAGAGTCCATAACACATATCACATCATCTCTCAATACATGATCTTGTACTCAAGATGAGTCCATGAAAGACACAAAAGTGTATAAGGAAGCCATCCTTCACTTAAGGTCCCTGAAAAAGGATCTCCACCAACCATAATATCTTCAATTGCCCCTCATAACGTTTTACTAAACTAAATAACTTTCTCCTCTATGTGAATCAATTGACACATCCTTATACTAAAAAATAGTTTGGTGATGCCCATATACAATTGAAGTAGAATAAGCTCACTCAATGCGCCCTTTAATTATGGAAGAAGATGCATTAACTAAACAACTTTCGATAACTCTCTTCATGGGCATCACAACATGCTCCTAATGTTCAAAGGGAACACTATTGGGTCATGAAGGGGTCAGAGGATCATCATATTGGGCTTTCAACACTTACTTTAAATGAGTTGGACACCACATATTAACCCAAAATCTTAAGGCATTGAGTTTATGGGTCTTCCCACTTATAAAGTGTGTAACATCCACTTTTCCATCCAATATGAGACTCATACTCACATTTGATATATCAACAAATACTCTATGATGTTTATTTCCATCACATAGATACCAAGAGATCCTGGTCTTATAGATATTAAATTCAAGTCTCAATCTTGAATTCATCTCTTGAATGAGGTTCCTAAGAGTCATGTATTTCACCCGCCGAATTGGTGGATAAGATTTGAACATGTTCAATATCGACACAGAGATGATCTCTATAATTGTCCGTGTTACACTTAGTCTGAATTACCCTTTGACGAGGTTTTTTAATTCATTATTTAAATTTGACAAAGATCCACAAGTAATCTAGTTTGGAAATGGAGGACAAAATGGAAAGTCAAATTCACAAGTTGGAAATGGTTGAAATTTAGAAAAATAAAATTATAAGGAAAAATGATGCCTATCTTTTACATAAGGAGGAAATTTCAGTTTTGGAATTTTTTTTTAAGAACTTTGTGTTTTGAAGTAAGGGCTGCATCATAGATAGTTCAACTAAGTTCACATGGATTATACACAACTTTGAAGTATTTTTGGAAAGTTGAATTTCCTTGATGTGTGTATCTCGACTCTTCTTGAATTTACTATACAAGGACGAAAAAATTCTATTAAGCGTTGAATAAGAGTCAAGGGATCCATATAAATATTGATATGATAAATTGACCACCAATCTTCAAAGTCTTGTGTGCAAATATAAGAAACTTGTAATTCAAAGGGGGTCAGAGTAACGACTTCTTTGACTTGATAGTCTAATTTTTTTTGGTGTTCTTCCCCCATTAGTTCACTCTTGGCCCAAAAAACTTTTTCTCTATGGGTATAAAGAGATTTTGGCTAAAATTGACTGAGGCCAAATTGTTTGTCCACCAAGTTTGGTTGGTAACTAGCAAGTCTCAGGCCAACTTTTTCTGTCAAAATTATGGTTGACAGGACATTGGGTTTGAGGAAAGTTGTCCAAATATTGAGAGCCTAAGAATGGTGCTTATAGGAAAGGGTTGGAAATTCCCTTTTGAACCAATCTGGTCCATAAAATTGACTAGAAAAATGGGCTATAGAGGAAAGAAATGTAGCACATTTTGCATGCATAAAGAAATATTGTTTGAAGGCTTCTACGGTCAAAAGACATGTATCTTCAAGGGGTAAGAAAAAAATGTCTAGTACCTTCAACTCGTCTATCTTCGACATGTTTTATTAAGTTATACGAGATGGAGATCTTTAGAGAGGGCTCAAAAGTGTCATTGAGCCAAAGTTCTAGAAGCCACATAGGACAATCATTAAGAGTTTTTGGTCGAAGTTGGTTATGGATTTCAGGCTAGATTAAGAAAGCCTTAGAGATTCATAAAGAGAACCTAAAATCAACTTGATGAGGCAAATATTTCTCCCTTCATGGATCTGAGTTGCCAAATGTATGAATTTCTCAACAATCTGTAGAGAACCAGAGCATAAGACAAATGAGAAAGTCAAAGTACGAGGAAGGCAATATGCTCATAATAAAAGAATTTCTCATTGTGGTATTAGTGTTGGTCGTCAATATAATTACTAAAACCTGAATGAGTGAAGGAGAAGTTGGATTTGGTTTTGTTTTTTAGAGAGGCGTCGAAGGTATGCCTAGTTGACTGAAGACCAGTGGTACCAACCATGTCAAAGAGGGTGGGAGTCATCATTCCACAACAAAGGTGAAAGGTGTTAGTCGAGCCTCCCTAAAAGAAAACTCTTAAATGCACATATTAAGGTTATATTTAAGGTTAATCCTAGACAATTGAATCAAGTCATACATGCCTCGGTCTTTCCAAAATCGTCTTTCTTCTTTTATACTTTGTTAGACCAATTGATGTAAGCATATTTGTTGGTGGTAGGAGCAGAATGAAAGACACGTTGGGGTGAACTCATAAAACCTAACTCATAGATTGTGTCTTCAAACACACGAGGCTTGTAGCGGCGATAACAAGGGAAAAACTTCTTTAACTTATCAGGTTTTGTAGAGATTCTGGGGAATGGACCCATAAATGCGTAAACAACACCTGAAATAGAGAAAGGGATCAATTCCTGGGAAGCCAGATCATGGTTGTTTCTTTCTCTATTGGTGGGTCAGGGATGTAGGTGTGGCCGTCAGGGTGTGTCAGAGCAATACCATAAGCAAAAAAAGGCATTAAAAGTTGTTTTAAGAAGGAAGTCATTGTTTGTTATGAGATTTGAGTTGAAGAAGGAAAGATTGTTGAAGATGAAGATTGCAAGAGATGAGAGTTCTTAGGGTTCTAGGCAAAATAGGTAACAAAAAGGAAAAAAGAAAGAAAGAAAGGAAGGTGCATATATAGCCGTGAAGTAAAACTTGTCAATTTCCCTATTGAAATATAGACAAGAGGCATTTTATTTTTGACAATTGGTGTTTGTATTTTTGAGGTGAAATCAAATTAAATGATGACTGAGTGCACACACGTTCATTGACGTGACCATTTAGTAAAGCGATCAAGATAACGATGACGTATGCAGACTACTGCGAACATTGTCGAGATGTTACTAAAAACACTACCTTTCTTTCATCTTATGAATATGACCGAAAATGGCATTTATAGGGGGCATCTATTAGCCTGTGATTTTCGACACTACACTAAAATCCATTAAACTTGGTTTGGAAGAGTCTTAGGAATAAATCAACAAGATTATGATCACTCTCTCTCTTCAAAACATGTTCAGAATTTCGAAAAGGTTCGTAACGAATCAACATTTCAACACGAAGGTGTGATGTGAAAATGGTGAATTTGACTTGCTTTTCAGGTGTTGTGGGACTTAGTCTGTTTTGAGGTCAAAGACTAGACAGTCTAGAGACATGTCGTCACCACTACAGAGTTCGATAGAGAAACCCCTTGACAAGAGTAGTTAAAGGTTGTGAATACAATTTTAATGATAAGAGCAGTTATAGACACTTCAAAGACCAATACGTGGAAGCATTTCAGAAAGCAGAAGTTCACATAATAAGATACATGTCGAGTTCTAGGGTAATAATCATTATCGACGATTATTGTTGTATGTAGTATTTAAGTTGATTTCGTTCATGTAATCAAGGTTCACAGATTTTACCATTGTTTCCTATAGAACCCGAGTATCCAAGTCACATAGAGAAAATAGTTCGTGAGAAAAATATGTATGAATCTGCGTCTCTTTTATAATTATGTAATCAAAGTATTGTATTTAAGTTACTTTTATTGTTTCTTTGCTTTATTTCAAGTTCTTAGAACAATTCTGTCTTACTCATATTGGAAGTTCTTTTCAATTTATCCATATTCAAACATAAATATTCAAAGCACAACCATATTTTCTCAATTCTTTTGCACAATATATCTTAGGATTTTTTTCGAGTTTAATTCTATAAGTAAATGAAAACTTATGATTTGATTTACCAAAAACAATGGTAAATAATCGAGTTTATGAGTCTTCTCACTTATAAAGTGTTTAACATCCATTTTTTTTACTTAATATGAAACTCATACTTACACTTGATTACTACCAAACACTCCACTCCACGATGTTTGTTACCTTCATATAGATACAAAGAGAACTCAATATTACGAATATTTAATTCAAATTTCAATCTTAAATTCGTCTTTTCATGATGTTAATGGTTTTAACCACCTCATTTAAATCTCCTAGGAGTGTATCATCATGTATATACCAAACATAAAGAAAATGCATGAAATAGTCTCCAACCTTATGGATTTAAAGAGTGTAACACAAGAATAAAAAGAAGCTGCCCCAACTAATAAATCTCATTTCTTTAGTATGATTAAACGACAACGTTTTGAAGCAATGTTCTAATCCCAATATTTATTCGGCTAAATTAAAGAAAACACATGAAATAGTCTCCAACCTTATGGATTTAAAGAGTGTAACACAAGAATAAAAAGAAGCTGCCCCGACTAATAAATCTCATTTCTTTAGTATGATTAAACGACATCGTTTTGAACCAATGTTCTAATCCCAATATTTATTCGGATGAATTAAAGAAAATGCATGAAATAGTCCCCAACCTTATGGATTTAAAGAGTGTAACACAAGAATAAAAAAAAGCTACCCCCAACTAATAAATCTCATTTCTTTAGTATGATTAAACGACAGTGTTTTGAAGCAATGTTCTAATCCCAATATTTATTCGGCTGAATTAAAGAAAATGCATAAAGAAAATGCATGAAATAGTCTCCAACCTTATGGATTTAAAGAGTGTAACACAAGAATAAAATGAAACTGCTTCCAACTAATAAATCTCATTTCTTTAATATAATTAAACATCAGCATTTTTGAAACAATATTCTAATCCCAATATTTATTCAGTGAATTAAACACAAAAACCACTAAAGTTTTGTTTGCGGCATTTGAGGATTCAATTTTGTTTAATCTTCTCAATGAGAGGAAGCATTGGAGTAAGACTTCAAAATTCCAGCATTTCCGATGCCACAAGAAAAACCCTAGTTTCATTTTCTACATCTTCCGGTTTCGGCGGCGGCGGTGATGGCCGTGGCGGTGGCCGTGGTCGAGGAGGCTCTTTCTCTGGCCCGCCACAGTTTAACTTCAGCGAAAAAGCTCCGGGTAACCCTAACCCTAACTCCAGCGAATCGAAATCTGACACAACAGAGTCACCAATTCCTCCTGGTTCTGGCCGTGGCCATGGTCGTGGTGGAACAGTTCCTCCTCCAACAGGTTTTCCTTCCTTTTCCTCATTTATGTCTTCCATTCAACAGCCTAGTGTAGGTCGTGGTCGAGGTTTTGGTCCATTACCACCTCAATCTGAAAATGATAAGCAGCCAGAACCTGATCCTGTACCTAAAAAACCCACTTTCTTCAGAAGAGAGGGTAATGTTTCTCAGACAGAAACAACTGAATCCTTGTCTCCGAAAAAACTCAGTTTTACTAGAACAGAGGATGTTAAACCAATAGATTTATCTGGTGATAACGAGAGTGATAGTATATTCTCAATGAGCTTGTCAGGGTTGTTGCCTGGAACTGGGAGGGGGAAGCCCGTGGAACAGACGGGTCGAGAAGCTCCTCAAGTTACAGTAGAGAATAGGCATATCCGCAGTCGTCGAACTCCAGGTGATGCTGCATCTGAGAATGTTCCTAAGAGACAGCCAATGCTAAGCCAGGATGGTGGTAATGGAAGTGGTAGTGGAAGAGGAAGAGAACCTAGGGAGAGAGGTGGGTTTGTTCGTGGCCGAGGTAGAGGACGTGGTAGAGGAAGAGGTGTTGGAAGGGGAGGGTTTAGAGGGGCTGGTGCAGATGATAGGATGGGTCAAATTCAAGATTCAGCTCGTTCCAATGCTGCTGGGCTATACACCGGAGATAATGCAGATGGTGAAAAATTAGCTAAGAAGGTTGGGCCTGAGATAATGAATCAGTTGACGGAAGAGTTTGAGGAGATTGTTAGTAGAGTTTTACCCTCTCCGTTGGAAGATGAATATGTGGAAGCACTAGACATTAATTGCGCTGTAAGTGGCCAGCTACATATATCTATATTTATTTGTTGGGAATAAAATTTTATTTCTAGTTTAGCTGCGTCAAGGTGAAACTTTGTGGTTTTTCATAAAGAAAGGGAATGTTTTAGGTCAACTTTCTATGATCATTACTTTAACCAGATCTTATGTTTTATTTATTTGTTTTTGCTTTTCTGTTTCTTGATTGATTATTGCAGATTGAGTTTGAGCCGGAATATATTATGGAGTTTGATAGCAATCCGGATATTGATGAGAAAGAACCAATTCCACTTCGTGATGCACTAGAGAAAATGAAACCATTCTTGATGAAATATGAGGGGATTAAAAGTCAAGAAGAGTGGGAGGTATGTGGTTTTATTGTGAATCTAATCAATGCCTGATGATTAATTACTGCACAATAATTTACAATGGCATAACTTGCAATGATTTAGGGCATAAGTTTCTTCTTCTTATTATAATTATTATTCTTTTTTTTTTGTCGTTTGTTCTGCACTATCTTCAATAACAATCTTATGGCTTGATTGCCAATAACTTTGTTTTAGTTAACCTGTCTATCAAGTACTTTGAGATAAGTGCTGTATTGCTGCATTTATTTTGTAATAGCACTCATTTATATGGGTGCTAGCGGGGAAAGACATTTGCAATATTGTTTATTTATGTTCATGTGTACATATGTTGGTATTACTTTATCTCTATTATTTTCTAACTTTGTATCCTACTAGGAAATAATGGAAGAGACAATGGAACGAGTTCCATTATTGAAAAAGATTGTTGATCACTACAGCGGACCAGATAGAGTAACCGCAAAGAAGCAAACGGAAGAGTTAGAGAGAGTTGCTAAAACTCTTCCTGCAAGTGCGCCATCTTCTGTGAAGGATTTCACTAACCGAGCTGTTATCTCTCTTCAGGTTTGGAACTGTTAATATTGTAGTGTGAAACTTAAACAAAAACTTAAAATGCCTTCTTTACTTTGATTACTGTTTCTTATTCTGAGTGTCTCTGCTCTGCTGGTGTACTGTTGCTTGCTCATGCCGTTCATTGTTAAATAAAACCCCTTCAGTATAGTTTGAACATAATTTGATATTAGTATGGGGTGGGTCTATATTTGGAATGGTTGTAGAAGGGTATGTACAGATTTGGCAAAAGCAATTCTGTTCACAAGATTGTATATTCCAATCCTGAGGAAATGTAGTTCTTCTTCTAGGAATTTAGAATCTAAATGCTAGTCAATGAAATAAAACAACCATATTAAGAAATGCAAATACAGGTAGAGTATTTGTTGTATTACTATTTTGGATTCTTGAAATCAATACAAGGTGGATTCTGTACATAGGTCGAGGAGTTATTGCAAAGCAGTGATATAAGAACATTGGTTCTCTAGCTAAAAAATAACTAATATTTGTTTAAATCTGTTATAAAAAATATTGTTTAAAAATGAATGACTATGAGTATCATGAGTTATTTATATATGTTAAGGTAGACTATTTATTTTATCATGAGTTATTAGCTATACACCGGAGATGAATGCTAATCTCTTCGAGATTTTGCTTATGTGGGGGACATGATATCATTCTATGTAAATTATCAAGAGGGAGAATTTGGTCAATTTAGTCCAGTTCACTAGTTAGAGTATTGGGCCTAAGTTATCAACTAAGTAGAAAAATGCTGGAGGTGCTAAGCGGCAAAAGATGGGCAATGAGAGACTGACGAGGACTTAGTTATATAAGGAATAAGCGGGAGAAGAAAGACTATTCGCAATTTTTGGTAAGATAGTGAAGTTACTGAAAATTCTTCTCTTGTGAAGGGAGACACTTGACTTGGGCTGTTAGACATTATTCTAATAGAATTTTCTTTTCTTTCTTTTGCAATATGTGTTTATCAGTTCAAATTACAAATTATTCCGTGTCTTATTCATTGATCATATCAATTGCTCCGACCTGCTGGATCTTGGTGGGAGAGCTGGAGTTGCAAACCCTGGAATTGTACAATTAGTTTGTGAATGAAGGGCTGCTAGAATTTCTGAGGTAAGACCCCGTTGGGTGGACCATTTGTGGTCTCCTATGGAGAATTTGATGCTGAAAGTTCCAAGAACTGCGACCATTTGTGGTCTCATATGGAGAATTTGATGCTGAAAGTTCCAAGAAGTGAATCAGAACCGTGGATTATAACAAAAATAAGAGACAAACCTGTATCAGAGATGATGGAAGTGACCATCAACGACAGAATAAATAGACCCACATGAGTTATATAGCTTCTGTGCATAGAAGAAATGAAATGCAAAAGATTGTTGAGGCCAGAGTAGACATTCCCGGATAGCGGCACGGAGCGGCCCCAAAAGTGGGATAGCGGGATGACCGCTCTATTTGTTAATTTTTTGGACAAACTACGTATAATAATTATAATCATATATTTAATGTAAAATTAAACAAATAACTCAACTCATGAAATATTCATAAATCATAACACACATGAATCTTAAAGTGCATAAATGACTATGAAGGAAGGTTAAGGTTGAGTCTCAACTCAAATTTGATTGAAAAACCCAAAATTATCCTTAAAATAATGTAAATTTAAGGGGTAGTTTCAGTTTTTTAGAGGGCAAAAGGATAGCGGGCCAGAAACTGCCCCAGGACGGGAACCACTTTGCTCCTCTATCCTGCTATTTACCCTACAATGGCAGCTATAGTGATCTGCACCGCTAAGGCTCTTCTCATAGCGGTTGTTCTCCGCTCCGTTATAGCGGGATAGCGCCGCTATAGTGATCTGCACCGCTAAGGCTCTTCCCATAGCGCTTCCTTTTGCTGCCTGATGAATTGGGATGAGCGAGGAAGTACATATAAGAGTTTGTGCTTTCTGCATTACTTTTGTGCAAGTGTTGTTGGGGCTGGTTCTCGGGCAGTGTTAAACTTGAAGTTTTTAAGCACGCCGTAAAAATGCTGTGTTGATGCGGCCCTTTGTTTAAGAAGTTTCACTAGTTTGTTGCCAACATGTGCTGATTTTCATAGGCTGCGTTGTGGATAGAGCTGTATAAACATGTTATTTGAAGTTTTGCTTTTAGGGATGAGATTATTAGGATCTACTTCAGTTGAGATGTATGTGGATTATGGTCGTGTTTCTTGGGCCTGTGGTGGGCCTACATGTTAGAGTTCAATAATAGGATGGTATGCAAGAAATGAAAGCTTATGTGTCTACATCAAACACTTCAAACGTTGGCTGAAAAGGTTCAACCAAACAATTTAACATATGTTCTTGATTTATCTACTTGCAGTCAGTGGTCAAATTGAGAAAAAACTACATATTTCTAGAATGATTAGAGGGTGTATGGCTTAGAGCCAAATCCTAATCAATTTTGTAATGTGCTGATGAGACTTTTGAACTGCTACTTGATGCAAGAATTAATAGAGCTTCGTGCAATTATTTTTGTTTGTGAGGCAAGTTGATGCCACCGATTGCTGTTTTGGGGGAACTCTGCTGTTGGACACAAAAGGTAGTCGAACTTGCGGAGTTCGTACTTCAGTGTTGCCTTGGCATTGTCCTTGTTGCTGCCTGTCAGGTGATCGTAGCAGTTACTACTCTCTTACTAAAAATATTCATGTCTGTATCCTTCGACGACTTGCAAGTTTTTTATGCCAAGTCTACACCAGTAGTTGGGGAAAATACTGCCCAGGGAAGGACTTTTGGTACCCTCCGGCCACATCTTATCGATTCACTTCCAACCTTGAAATACCATTACGGTACTGTTCTTGGAGGGAATTTTTTTTCTTCTGTTAAATTGGTTTGAGATCACTCAGTGTGCACTCTGCTTCCTATGCACATGGTCTTTGCATATTCCTTGGCTTTTAAAGCATAACAATCCTACTTTTTCTAAGACAATCCAAGTCTTAATGGCTCTCATGGTTACCATTGGTGAAGATGTTCGATTCCGAGCATCTAGATTTACTATTTGGTGATTATAAACTATCCAACACCATATAGACATACTGTAAAAAACATGTAAATTTAGTTTATGAGGAATGCTAGGAACACTCTCTTTTCAACACTCAAACTCTCGCTCTTTTATTTGGTGAAACACATGTGGGGGTCCCACATGCGTTTACGTGTCTTTTATTTCATTCAATTTGATGCTTTTTGTTTTTAACCTGTCTTTTATTTCATTCAATTATTGAGAATGCTGATTTTAAAAACTATTGAAAAGCAAGATTCTGCACAATATATTTCATTTAGATTTGATTTGCATTATTGATGCAGAGCAACCCAGGCTGGGGATTTGACAAGAAATGCCAATTCATGGATAAGCTAGTTTTTGAAGTGTCTCAGCATCACAAATAATCTAATAAGCCTTTCAAGATTAAACTTGGTGGGTTTCATAGTATACAATTTTATTTACTTGTGGACAAGTCATGCTTTCTTTCATTTCTTTTTGATTAAAGAAACTGCTATAACTCTTGTAATAATGAGTGGTAGCGATCTTGTAGCATTGATGCGAGAATTTTCCATTTGTTTTAGCTTCTTGGCTATAAAGATAGAGCCCTGTCTGTAAAGTTAGAGCTTGTCTGTTTTAGTTTTTCTCATAATAATAGACAGAAGATGAAGAGAAGAAATGGGGTGATGCACTCATTGAATGTTTTTAATGTTGGCATGTATTTCTTTGGTCTTATAATATGAGCTGAATATTCTTTCTACTATTTTTCGACTGAATTCAGTTGTCAAACAAAAACTGCGAAAAATCAATTCCACGAGACATGCATTTGTTCTTAACTTGAGTTTGGTTTCATAGAGCAGCCAAGCACTTATTTGCACCTCTTACTTACATAATTTCTCAATCAGTTTCTTATAAGTAACTTTTTTTCAAAAGAAATAATCTAAAGAAATGGGGCTTTCTTGGATAATATGATCAATTGCAGCTACTCTAGTTGAGAATGTTTAGCCATTTGTAAACCCCATCTAACTCTCAAGGCTTCAGCTAGACTTGAGTCTATAATTATCCCCTTTTTCAACAAGATGTAACAACAACTGAGTTGGTTTGATCTATGACAACCAAACCCCATCTTTAATAATCATTCAAAAGAACAGCCAGCATCAACAAAAATTCTAGAAGTATCAGCACAAACAATTTCAGCTTCATTACTATTGTTTGAGATAGATTACTTTGATTATCAAAAACCATATGACATGGTTCTTGCACACAAAGTTTATTTTGCTAACCACAAACCGTTTCTTAATATGTTCCCTATAATGAAGTGTATTTTGAGACATATAAACCGAGGATTAAGAAATTGTTTCTTTTGTACTTTTGGTAGATGAGTGGAAATGTTTAAAAGCCCAGTTTAGAATAATCACTTCAATCACTTTTGCTCATGTTGGTTGGAGTGGGAATGAAGCAGCACATAAATTGGCTAAGTTATTATTATTTGGGATGAGAAAACTCCTCATGATGTTTTTGACAAGAAAAGTTTGTGGTTTTAATAGGAGAGTTACTTAAAAGTATTTTAGTTATGTTACTTATATATTATAAACGATTTTGATGAAAAAATGAACTGTATATAATTAGAATTAAAATCAGCTCATATTGACACACGAGACATAAAGTTAATCCTCAAATGCAAAAATAACACAGAACACACATCAATCAACAAATATCAAAACGATACAAAGAAAACATCAAAGCCCGTCTAGCTCAGTTGGTAGAGCGCAAGGCTCTTAACCTTGTGGTCGTGGGTTCGAGCCCCACGGTGGGCGATCACGTTTTACACTTTTTTCCAGTTTTGTGAAGATATTAAAAATAATGACTCAGTTTAGCACTCCTCTTCATTTTTTTGGGCCCGTTTGCTGTTCATTCTTTTATCAGTCTTGGTTTCAAAAAATAAAACTTGTATGCTCCGCTGCACAGGAAAAAAACTTATTGAAAACTGTATTTTAATTTTATAAAAAAATAATATAGTTGTTGCTTCCATAAATAATTAATTTTTAATAGTGACCAAGTTATAGCAATTTGTAACTCGTATAGAGTTGTTTTGGTTAATAATTTATATTTTGTTAATCCAACTAAGTATAGCTAAAATTATTAGATAAAATGTTAAATATTTTAAATTTTAATAAATATTTATAGAGTTAATCTACTCAATCATTTTTTTAATGTTACAGTTGTATTGACAAAATATAATATTTATAATAAATTGTTAAGTAGTATAACTCTATGGAGACTTATTCTTGGAATAAGTTGATCTTGAAAAATAAAATAGAATAAATTAATATTAATTTTAAATATTTTGTTGAAAGTTTGAATCGAGAGAGAGAGAGAGAGAGAGAGAGAGAGAGAGAGAGAGAGAGAGAGAGAGAGAGAGAGAGAGAGAGAGAGAGAGAGAGAGAGAGAGAGAGAGAGAGAGAGAGAGAGAGAGAGAGAGAGAGAGAGAGAGAGAGAGAGAGAGAGAGAGAGAGAGAGAGAGAGAGAGAGAGAGAGAGAGAGAGAGAGAGAGAGAGAGAGAGAGAGAGAGAGAGAGAGAGAGAGAGAGAGAGAGAGAGAGAGAGAGAGAGAGAGAGAGAGAGAGAGAGAGAGAGAGAGAGAGAGAGAGAGAGAGAGAGAGAGAGAGAGAGAGAGAGGGAGGGAGAGGGAGAGGGAGAGGGAGAGGGAGAGGGAGAGGGAGAGGGAGAGGGAGAGAGAGAGAGGCATTAAGCAAAGATGAGGATGCCTCCGAGGCATTTAAACAAGTGTTACAAAATGATTAAGACAAAAAACACATCGATAAAATACAAGAAAAAGCAAAAACTCGGGGTGGTAAACGGTTGACACAAACTATTAACTAGTTATAGCTGACAAAACTAAAATATATATAATCCGGTGTAACCGGTTAACTCATTTGGTTAATCAGTTAACACAACTCAAAAACTATTTTTTTCCTTGTCCAAAAGTGATTTTTTTTTCCAGTTGTAACCGATTACACCCGCTGTTAACCGGTTACAACACTAGAATTACTTGGTTTTCACTCAACATACCACTTTAAAACAAGTTCTCAAAGTCTTCCAAGCCCATGCTCATCTTCAACCTTTTGAACACATCATTTATGACTCCCTTAGTCAGCAAATCAACAACTTGATCTTCACTTCTTCACTAACAAGCTCCCTCAAGTAGTGAAACATCATCTTAATGTGCTTGCTCCTCTCATGTGCAATTGGGTTCTTAGCAAGATTAATCGCGAAAACATTGTCAAACAAGAGTGTAACAACCTTAACTTTACTACTTCACAACTCCTCTAATAGATTCGTAAGCCACACGACTTGGCATGCACATAACGAAGCGACAATGTACTCAGAATCACAAAACGAGAGTGCAACTACCGGTTCCTTCTTTGAAAACCATGAGATTGGTGTTGCACTGAACATAAAGATGTATCCAGCTGTAGACTTTCAATCATCTTTATATCTGCACCAATTAGAATCGGTAAAATCGAGCAAATTGCATTTTCTGCCTGTATCGACTACGAGGAAGAGAATTCCACAACCAACAGAACCTTTGACATATCTTAGGATCCTCTTGATTGCTGCCAAGTGAGACACCTTAGGTCTCCCCATGAGTATACTCACGATACCAACAATAAACGCCAAGTTTGGTCGCGTATTGCACAAGTAACACACGGATCTAATCTACCTCCTATATTGAGTTGATCAACATCTTGCTCATCCTCATTCTTACAAAACTGCAACCTTGGTTCAACTAGAGTAATGACAGCATTACAATGCTCTATTTCAAACTTCTTCAATATCTCAAGAGCATACCTTCTTTGGTGCATGAGCAGTCCCCTTTTGGACTTGTGGAACTCAATGCCAAAGAAGTATGTCATGAGGCCAAGGCCGGTCATCTCAAACTCTTTCATAAGTTCACTTTTGAACTTTGAAATGCACTTTACATTGCTGCTCCTTATCAATAAGTCATCTACATATAGATAAAGGATAACAACTCCTTACTTGTATCCGTCTTCACGTACATTTCATGCTCGGATACACATTTCTTGAAGCGAACCTCCTTTAGGAAACCATCAACTATTTTATTCTAAGCTCTTGGAGCTTGCTTCAAACTATATAACACATTCTTCAACTTGTAGAACTTCAACTCTTGGTTTCTCACAACAACCAGATTTGACGCCCATTTGGTAGACAAGCCAATTGTGGTTATTAGCAATACCAACAACAAGCCTAATGGTTTCAATACTAGCAACCGGTGAAAATACCTCTTCAAAGTCTACGCCTTCTCTTTGCAAAAATCTCTTAGCAACCAATCGAGCCTCATGCTTGATTATTTCACCCATGGAATTTGCCTTCACTTTGAACACCCATTTCACACCAATTGGCTTTTTTCCATTCGGTAAATCGACCAACTTCTAAATATTGTTCTTCTAAATGGATTCCAGCTCCTCCTTCATAGCACAAATCCACTTTGGATCAATTGAAGCCTATTCCATTTTAACAGGTTCAGATTCGGCCATAAGTGGAAAATGGACGAAATCCCCATCATCATTGAGTTTGTTGTCTCGGAACAACTCATAATCTTAGAGTCTTTAAGGAAAACCTCTTTGACTTATCGATCTTCTAACATTTTCCTCATTTCAGGCTTCGACGATGGGCTATTATGCATTTCCCATTTATGTAGAACCTGGAATTTCGAAGCTGTAACCAGTTACAACTTTCTGGTAACCAATTAACGACTACATGTAACCAGTTACCGATTGCATGTAACCAATTAACGACTGCTTGTAACCGGTTAATGAATGCTCCATTTGCTTTAATTCATTGACCACAACGTTCCAACTGATCACAATCCTCCTGTTTGCAGCATCAAACCGTTTGTAACCACTAATAGAGTGATATCCTACAAGTATCATCACTTCTCCCTTATCATCCAAATTCTTTCTAAGTTGCCCCGAAACATGTCGATATGCTACGCAACCAAAAAATCTCAAATGGTTCAGATTCGGTTTGAATCCTGACCATGCTTCTTCCAGTGTTACATTCTCAAGCTTCTTTGTAAGACACATATTCAAAAAATAGGCAGCTGTGAATACCGCTTCTCCCCATAATATTTTGGAAAATTCTTCCTCTTTAACATGCTTCTCACCATGTTCATGATCGATCGATTCTTCCTTTCGGGTACACCATTTTGCTGCAGTGTATAAGGTGGCAATACCTCATGTATAATCCATTCTTGATCACAAAACATCTCAAAGTTATTTTAGACATATTCGTCTCCACTATCCATTTTGAGCACTTTGAGTTTATGACCACTTTTCCTCTCAACCATGGACTTAAACTTCTTGACCACTTCAAATAACTCATCC